AGGAAAGGAAAGGAAAGGAAAGGAAAGGAAAGGAAAGGAAAGGAAAGTTCCGTTTGGTGTGGTAGTCTTAGTCCTTCAGTCGAGGACAGAGAGGATTTTCAATTCTACTATCAGGCACGCCCCCAACTGGATGCCATGAAATAGTTTCATTATCCGTACATGTTAGTAATGAAAATTCTGAAAATTAAAGTCTGAACATAGCGGCACAAAAGCAGAATCTGATTTTGGTCGTTCAGATGTTAACTTAATGCCAGAGATTTCAGCTATGCCTTGAAAAACTTTTTGTACTAAATTTCATTATCACTTTCATTTTTAATACTTTTCCCAACTGTCTCTGTGTCATCTGCATAGAAAGTTGACAGGGTTGAAAGGGAAAATATGCTGGAAAGTATAATAAAATGCCTTGAACTAGAAATATGTTTTGAAAAAATTTACCAAGAGCTACCTACTTTTAAATTGTGGTGTTTTTTTAAAAAAATATTGACACTGAGAACTCATTTTAATGGAATAGATTTATCAATCTGCTTTTGCTGAATATAAAGAATGAGAGCCTCCAATGTTCTGTACTGTAACATAAAAATAGAAAATCCTAAGTGAGTCTATTAGAATTGCCTCTCTAAAAACTTTATCCATGTCGACAATTAAAACTGGAGTATATACACGATCTCAACAAAGATATAACATAAAACATCTGTTCAGCTGAGATTGAAGTAAGCAGCATTTTCCCCTAACATTTCTAATTTCCCTGTATTTAGGCAAACGTATTCATGGTTATCTTAGTTAAAACTGGTTTCACTCTGCCAACAATCAATTTGATTGACATATTTACATATCAACTCATCTCATCTTACAAATTTTAAACTTTTTCACTTAAAATTGGATTCAAGTTGGCATCTTTCAAGAACTTTATGTACGTATATTTTAGGTTCAAACTGTGCATTAGAACATTTTTTTTTTTTTACTTTTGTAAGTAATAGATACACATATCCAAATGTATTATTTATGACCTGTCAGATTGGGATTTTATATGCATGCGGCTGTATTCTCACCATTTCATGTGAAAGGTGATAATTTTAGGCAACTAGAAATGAAATTCTTTTAATAGTATAAACTGGATTGTTCCATTGTTAGAAGCAATATAATAGAAATAAATAACTTACGTCTTTAATTAGGTCTTTAATTGCTGCAGTTACCCTTGTCATCTCTTACCTGATCTTTCATTTCAAGATCCCTTTTAGTTTTTGCTCTGTACTCTCTGTGCTCCTTCTCTGCCTCATCCTTCTCCATTTTGGTTTTATTCAACTGATAGCGCATTTCCCCACACACCTGTTAGATTGTAAAAACTACATCAATAGCTGCTGGAATCTACCAGGCAATGCCTGCAATTAGATCTTTTGGTGCCCCCTAGAGGTCATATAAATAAAATACAATAGAACTCTTCTAAGAATGGCATTTTCTGTATAGAATATTCAATGTATTCTGTTAAGATGCGAAGGCAGTATCAGGTACCACTGAGTTTAACAACTTCAGATTACAGATAAAGAAATGTATTGAGAAATTTAAGTAATGTGCCCAAGATTTTTTGTGGGAAAAATCGTTTCAATTGCATGCTATTATCCAAAATGCATTATCACCTCAATCTTAACTAGGTGAAATCATTAACTAAAATATTAAGCTATATCAATACTCATTCAAGTTATTACAGTTAAACAGACATTCTATAAAAGAAAGGTTTCCCTTAAAGATTTGATCAGTTAGGCTTTTATTCAAGAAATTTATAAAGGAATTTTTCTCTCTGCTAATAGGCTATATGATTGGTATTTACGTGTACAGTGGTCCCTAGTATTCACTACAGTCTCTTAGATAACATCAATCTTATGCACAGTGCTATGCACTTAAATTAAGAAACACTGTCTCGTAAGAGTCATAGACTGGAACCATGCACACTCTGCATTTATAACTGTAGCATTCAACATAAAAGGAAAATATACATTTAAGTGAAATGATTTTAACATATCATTAAATAATGAACACACACAGCATCCTAAAAGTGTTGTGTATCATCCCTTACACAATTTTTTTGTATAAATTTTTTTTTATACAAGGGCTCTACACACAGGTAAATATATTTGGTAAATGCAATTCAGCAGATAAATCTAAAGAAATTATGAGCCTTTGAGATAACTGAGAACCTGTAAGAGATTAACACACACGACTGTTAATTCAGTCTCTGATTTACAAATACAAGTTTTTAAAAATTATGTATCATCCAATGGTTATAGGTGCTTGAAACCTTTCAATTTTGGTATTTATCCAAAAATACAATCAGAAGTTTAGAAATTAGTTTTATCATTACTGAGGTATTAGAATCTTATAAAACCTCCATCTATCTCCTATGCTCAAACAAAAAAAAATTTTAAAAATAAACCAATCTGACAGAGGAAAAAGTCAGTAAGTTTCTCCCCAGTGGCCCTCAAAATACTAGGAAAAGAATACAATTACTGAAAATTCTACTTGAAGTTCAAATTCAAATGCCTTGAATGTGTCAGAGCTGACCCCTCCCATTTCAAAAACACTAGTAATTTATAAAAAGTTATTAATTTTAAAGCTAAATAAAGTTTAAAATGAAGAATGACAGAAAAAAATTAGAGGGGCCCTAATTCCCTTTCCTTCTTGGTTCTTCACTATTCCAACCTATTCGATGTATATACATGAATGAAATGAAAAAAACCAAATTGACGCCAGGAAATAATTACACAGCCATGGTGTTTCAAACCTAATACCAACATATAATTATTGTGTAATAATAAATGCCTAGGCATTAAGTTTTATTTAAAATTATTTTATCCCTTAATTTTATTTTTAAAGTTCCCTTGCCTTACTGCTTCCACGTTAGCATCTGCTAAGTTTATCCATGACACTTGAATTTCATCTAAAATAAACTAACGAATTAAACTGAAGTAGAATGATTTCATCTCAGGGTTGGAGCCACCTCAAGGCACCCTTCTGATGCTGGAGTGTTTTTTTGGACAGTTCTAAAGATAGAAGAGGCATCTCGACTGTACATGTTTCAACAGAAAGTTCTCTCCCTACAATGGACTGAACACTCACCACAGCTTTCTCCCTAAATCTGGATTAACCACTGTCACCCCTCTATCCCAACTCCCTTACATTTACCCTTAGCCTCCACACAAACATGCTGATGATATTGGCAAATATGACAGCTTTAAACCTCTATATTGGCTAACTTGAGTTTTAGAAAGCAAATGGAGAATTAAAGAAATTCAAGGGAAAAAAAGAAAAAAATGGGCTTTGTTTCTTCTATATATTAAAGGCAATTGCAATTACTAAATTATAAAGCAACGTTGGCATTACAAATGTGTCAACATTTAGGAAAATATGTTGATAGCTAAAATGCGATATGAAAAGGGTATACATTGCAAACAAAATTATCCGTGTACATTCTGGTAAAAAATATATCCATTTAATTTATTACATCACGCGTGCTCACACGTAGTTTCTTAGTTTTAAGGCAACTGCTTACTGATACCTACATGGACTTCTCGTGTTTCATAAATATGTACCTTACAGTGGCCAGTTGAGACTATTAAACGTTTTAGTTCTTGGTTCACAAGTTTGTAATGGCCGAAGTGCAGACACTGTGATGTTTTGAAGCATAAATTTAAGGACCAATAAAATAAGACACTTAGTGTGAGAACCTTGATATTGAAGACCAGGTATGAAAAGGAATGGGAGGTAGAAAATTTTTTATTTTAAGCACACTCTTGGTGTTGTATATATATATGTCTTTTACTATTTTTGTGGGGACCAAACCAATGCTATCTCTGGCAAACATTTTTCCTAACTGTCTAATTTAGAGATGCTGGGATTATCACACATTCAATGACTAAAGTAGTGACACTTGCTTAATGACAAGTCTGTCTCAGCCACTTTGAGTTCTTCAAGGACATTATTTGTGTCTAATTCATCTTTGTATTTTCAGCACTCATCAAAGGGCCTGCCAGTAATAAGTAAATGTTTGCTTAATGACCATTAGGTGGACCTTTACTGTCTGAAATAACAAAACCTTTCTATTCCGTGCTTCTTTCTGAGTTTTGTGCATTAGAAAAAATTACAAACTAGAATCTCACTTTGTACCTTTGTGACATCCATTTCCTTGGAAGCAAGCTGGTTTTGAATTTCCTCTAGTTGATTAATAGCTGAAATCTTCTCTCTTGTAACCTTTTCAACCTGGACCTCCAGTTGGGCAATATTTTGAGACAGGGACAATATCTATAGGAGGAAATAAAAGTCCCAAATGATAATGGCATTTGACAAAATAAATATTGAGAACACTGATGACCCAGCCATAAGAAAGAATGAGATCTTGCCACGCGCAACAACGTGAGTGGACCTAGAGACAGTGAGTCAGAGAAAGACAAACACCGTATGATCTCACTCACTTGTAGAACTTAAGAAACAAAAGAAAGGGAAAAAAGAGACAAAAAAACCCACAGACTCCTTAATACAGAGAACAGACAGGTGGTTACCAGAGAGGAGGTAGATGGGGGGGGAGGGGTGATGGGTGAAACAGGTGAAGGGGATTAAGAGTGCACTTATCTTGATGAGCACAGAGCAATGTATAGAACTGCTGAATCATTGTAGGTGCACCTCAGACTAATAAGACACTATGTAAAAAAAAAATCTTGAATTAATAGTCTTCACGTGGCCACTGGGTTCACTCTTAGATCATTTCTCTGTGGATCGGGTATGTCCATTGTTCCACCTCCTCCACTCACCCGTCCCCCATGACTCAAATATGTACTTCCTTCCCATTTATTCCTGGGTCTCTACCCTCATTTGGGGAAATACATAGCAAGATGATAAAATCAAAGTTTGGGTTGAAACTTTAAGGTGAAAAGTTGTGGAAGAGGCTGTTACAAATAAATTTCAGGGGCGATGTCAAGCAATCAGAGAAGTCTTGAACTCTTCTCTCACATGGAAGGATAAAAGGACTGGTCGGGAGAGCTGGAGAGGCAGATCTCTTTAGAGAGAGCAACTGTGATTCAATGGATCCTACTCTCCTTCCCCCAACACCAACAGAGGAGGCTCTATGCACTTCACTTTGCTACACAAAACCACCAGCGCTCCTGTTATTTCCCCTCTCAGCCATTATCCCCTCTCCTCCGGGAAGTTTCTTTGACCCCCTTGTTCCCAGCACAGAATAGGAGCCCTTGATGCACTCAGGGTTGCTATTCAGCTATTGTGTCCTGGGGGGGCCATGTCTGCTGTTTGCAGCTGACATCCACTCTCACGGATTTGCTGCTCATGCAGTACTGTGGTTTCATATCTCGACTCTCACTCCGGTGTATGGCTCCCACAACAGCTTCTATATATCTCCATCACACCGCAAGGTCTGCACGCTTCCAACAATGTACTTATCTCACTGTGTTTAGTTGTCTGTTTCCACGTTAGACTGCAAGTTGCTCAAGGGCGTATTCCTCACCAAATGTTTGAGGAATGGATCACTGGAATAAACAGCTCTTCTGAGGAGCACTCCACTCTAAGGATCTCAGGCTCTTAGTTTTTCTTCTCAGGGTGAGAAATGCTTTCTAGGTCTTAGATTTAACCCATTTTACAGGTTTTTTTGCTTGCAGTTACATTTTACTCTGCTCCAGTAAGTCAAAATTTCCTAGACTCTTACTTTCCTATTTGTATTAGCAGCTTTGACGTGAAGAAGAAACACTACCTTCCTCGAGAGTGAAACACGCAGAGATATCTATCAGTTTTTAATCTGGTAAACAAGAACTCATAACAAAATTGAAATAACATTTTAAATCTACCGTTGCACACTGATATGGGTGTGAATTCAGTTTTCACAACTGAAATCAATAACTCGGATTTTGTGACACAGATCAAGATCGCCTTTGAATTACATAACGAACTAAAGTTGACACATATGAAATAATGAGCCCTGGTAGCTATTTTCTAATTAAATGGTAGACACGTTCATTAACTTTTCTGGCGATTGTGGGGAATTGTGTATTTGACTTATGGGTTGTTTACATGTCCTTCTTATGGTTGAAAGATTGTCTAAAAGTCCAATTTGCACATAAAGCTACTTTTACGAATACCCAGCTACAAATGATTCTAATTCACATTATAATCTGAACTTGAAATTGAAATTCAAAAGAAGTTAAATGCAGCAAATAACAAGATTAATTTATATCCTTAATTTGAAAATTCAGGTTCATGAGTATCCATATTATGAATGTAATTCTAGCTTCTCTGGAACCATACCACAGCAGCAAACTTTAATTACCAGCTACTAAAAATCATATTTGTGTGAAGATGTAGCTTATGGTAAACATACTAACATTGGTGGTTTTTTGCAGTAAATATGCAGACATTTACCTGCTAACTGTAAATTCTGAGTCAGTTTCTATAATAAGCGTGTAACAAATCACATCCCTTCCATCTGACTCCCTCCCTCTGCCACCCATCACTTCTTCCCTGTGCCCACTACCTGTCTGCTCCCTCCTGTCACCCACTTCCTGAGGCCTCTGCTCCTGTTGTCACACCTCCTTTTTCCCCACACCCACCATCTGGAAGTCAACATTACACCGCAGGAGCGTCTCCATCCACATCTGTTGCGGAGACACAAGTAACACGGACAGCTGCAACACTGCTGGATGTCCGGGGCGTTGACATCAGGCAAGTCCTTTAAACTTTGACAGGGGCAAGCAAGAGACAAGGACACCCAGGCTGGGACAGCTTGATGGAAATCTCTATACAAAGGTGGTCCCTAGTGTACTGAACACGGTAGAAAGTGGTACTCACTATACAACGGGTGCAAGAGTTAAGAATTCTAGTGATGGACTATTATCAAGGGAACCAACTGAAAAAAATGGGTAGACCATAGGGGGCGCTCAATAAATATGATCAATGGCCCACTGAACTAACAAACCTAGGGGCTCAGTGCAGCCAAGGACCGTAACAGAAGACAGCAAACAAACTCACAGCAAGTCCTGCTCATGGGGGAATGATTCGAAATCTGTCTAGGTAGAAGACATCTGCTCTCCAAGAGCTTCCCACACACACGAAATTTAATGAGAATGAGTAAGAAGAAAGAAAAGAAAGAAAGAACAAAAAGAGAGAAGCAAAGCCTAAAAGTCTTGCAAGCGCTCCTTACTGCTAGGAAATGGGGGGCGGCGAGGGGGGGCTCTTTAGCACAAACTACAGAGCTCTCCCAGCGTTAGGATGAACTGTTCTGTCTCCCTCTCGGATACACTTCCTGTGCTAGGCAGTGGGATACACGTTCTCTCTTTTAATCCCCTTGGAGAAGGAATTATATGGGATTAATTTTTCAGTTGAAAAACAACCAGGAGATTCTGAAAATCCAGAAATTTGCCTATGTGCATTCAAGCTAATGAATAAAAAGGAGAGCCAGGCTTTATATTCAAATCTGCCTGCTTTGCTAATACGCAGGTGCAAGAATTCCATCCTCTCAGCCTACTCCTCTTTCTGTGCAGTAAGAATGATACTAGCCTCAAGCTGAAAGCCATTAAATGTCCGCTCTAAGCGAGGTGTATTAGGTACTTCCGAAACACTCTTATTTAAGCCCATCAGTTCCTTGAGTAGATCAACTCCATTATTTACTCCTCTGAAATCTGGCAAGGTTAAAAGAATTGTTCAAGGTCACACAAAGGTCAAACTGGATTCAACTCTGAATCCTTTGACTCCAAAGCCACGTTCTGCCATTTCCTGGTGACAGCACTTGCTAGAATGTGAGAAGCACTTTCAGCTCTTCATTCAGACACTTTACTTAGGGCAGGACCTCGAGATGAAATGCCAGCCAAGGCTCACTGAGGGCAAGACACATGCCTGGGTCTCAGCCATACATTGTACTTTTGTTGCCACTTTTGCTCCTGGAATAATTGTTAGTGTTAAGAAAGAGGCTGTGTTATACAAGAGCACCTGGAATGCTGCCTGGCACTCTCGGCCTTCCTTTGTCCTTCCTTATCAGGAATTCTCACCACCATATTTTTTTCAAGTGGAACCGCTCAGCAGGGCTAAAGGTTTCCACTGAACAGCCCCCAAATTAAGAGTCTCCCAGGCGTGAATAATAGCCGGTCTTTGCTATTGGTCCTGTTCTTTGTCACACGCACAACACTCACTTCACAAAGTCCCCTCCCCCCACGCCTTATCCTTGTTGGTTCCAGCCAGCATCCCTTCCCTCATGCTCTGTATTTCCGAATCCTACTTACAGGTCCATATGCCACCTTCCTCCCCAGATCTTCCATGAGCTCAGGCAGACACAGACCGTTCTGATCCTCTGAATTCACAACCTCTCAGTCACATGATTCCAATGGCACAGGGCCTCTCTTCTTCCCCTGTGTTACACTCATTCATTCGACAAATACACATGGAACACATTTTATGTGAGTGGGATGTGCCAAGCAATGACGATGTTAAGCGACCACACATTCAGGGGACTTGTGGTAAATTGGGGGAGACAAACAATTCAACACGAATTTGCAATTAACTGAGTCACAGGAGACCATAGGAGAGACTCCGAATTCATCTCTGAAAGTAGGTGGTCTCAAGAAGAACTCTGAAGGATCAGTTAGGAAGGACACAGAGCAGAAGATTCCTCTAAGCAAGGGGCAAAGCACATGGAAACTCCTGAAAGAAAAATAGTAGAGCAGGACGGTGGTGATGCAAGGAAAAAGGTAAAGGGAGATGAGACTGGGAAATCAAAGACAGCCAGAGAAATGCAGAATCTGTGTGCAATGCTAAAGGATCCAAAATCTTATCCAAGGAGAGGCAGGGAGACAGGAAAGGATGTCAAAGCAAGAGACTGACATATTGCCTGGTTCGTTTTAGAAAGACCATCCTGGCTGTGGCTTAGGGGTGACACGGGAAGCAAGGAGAGTGCTTGGGGCTGTAGAAGTCATCCGGGAGTGACGCTATGCATGGCAGGGAGACAGGGCAATGGGAAACCCCCAGGTGTCTGAATCTCTAGAATTTGGTGACTTCGTGATGAGTAGGGTAAGGGAGAGGATGGAGACAAAAATGCCAGCGAGATTGCAGAGTTGGACAATCTCCCATAGGAGAGGGAGCATGGCAAGAGAAGCTGGTTTAGGAGATCACTAGAGAGCTGAGGATCTAGGAATCGATGTCACATACATGAAACCGGGAGCCACTCTAATGCCAAAGACATCAGAATATAATGCTCTCTGCTAAACTCTAGAACTTTCCATCAAGTTGCTTTCTGGATGCGTTTCCTTCATTGTCTCAAAGGCACTTTAAACTCTGAGCAAACTTAAAGGCACACATTATCATCCTCCCAAAGCAAGAAATCCAGAGAAATCAAGGAAAGAGAACCTTTCATTTATTTATTTTCTAAAAGTAAGCTTCATGCCTAGCACAGAGCCCAACTTGGGGCTTGAACTCACCACTCTGAGATCAAGACTTGAGCTGAAATCAGCAGTCAGAGGCTTAACCAACTGGGCCATCCAGGTGCCCCGGAAAGAGAATCTTTTAAAGAGAATAAGAACTGGGGCACCTGGGTGGCTCAGTCGGTTGTGCGCCCAACTTCAGCTCAGGTCATGATGTCATAGTTCATGAGTTCGAGCCCTGCATCGGGCTCTGTGCTGATGGCTCAGAGCCTGGAGCCTGCTTCAGTTTCTGTGTCTTTCTCTCTCTCTGCCCTTCCCCTGCTTGTGGTCTCTCTCTCTCTCTCTCTCTCTCTCTCTCTCTCTCTCTCAAAAATAAACAAACATTAAAAAAATTTTTTTAGGGGCACCTGGGTGGCTCAGTCGGTTAAACGTCCAACTTCGGCTCAGGTCACAATCTCGCGGTCCGTGAGTTCGAGCCCCGTGTCGGGCTCTGGGCTGATGGCTCAGAGCCTGGAGCCTGCTTCCGATTCTGTGTCTCCCTCTCTCTCTCTGACCCTCCCCCGTTCATGCTCTGTCTCCCTCTGTCTCAAAAATAAATAAGATGTTAAAAAAAAATTTTTTTTAATAAAAAAAAATAAAGAGAATAAGAACTAACAAATATTCGCTAAAAACAGCACAAGGAGGACATAGCAATGGTAATTCCACTGGCTGTGGGCACAGAAGCTGAAATGCAGGGGCTGAAGAGGTAATCAGAGGAGAGAGCATAAAGACCGCATGTACAGACAGACCTCACAAGAAACTGGACCATAAAGGGCAAGAGTAGGGAGGCACATGGAATTACTGACGTGGTTTCCAACCTGGGATACACACTGGAGTCACCTGGATCCAGTCTCCTGAATCCCACCCATGGTTATTTTCACATACTGGTTTGGGACGCAGACTGGACAATGAGATTTTGGAACTTCTGTGGCTCCAAGATTGAGAACCATTGGATTAGAAGAAAGATTGTTTCTTTCAATGGGTGAGAGAAACTCGAGGGGACTTTCCTGAGAAGGAGGAAGCTCCCTGAGGTAGAGGGAGAGAAAGGGACCGAGAGCAAGGAGAAACAATGAGTGCAAGGCCTCTCCCATTCTAACAATGTTGTTGGGATGCTGGTGAAATCGTACTTGAAGGCACAGGTGAGGGGAAGATAAAGATTGAAGTGGTTACCACTCACTGGCTTCAGTTTTCTTTGTTAGGTAAGTAAGACTCTGCTGAGAATGAGGGGAGTGTGGTATAGTAGAGAATTTGAGGAGAATAAAAGTGATTTACAAGAGTCTTTGGGGGTGCCTAGGTGGCTCAGTCGGTTGAGCGTTCGACTTGGGCTCAGGTCATGATCTCGCAATCTGTGAGTTCGAGCCCCGCATCGGGCTCTGTGCTGACACCTCGGAACCTGGAGCCTGCTTCAGATTCTGTGCCTCCCCCTCTCTCTCGCTCTGCCCCTGCCCCCCCCCCTCAAAAATAAATAAACAAAAAAAAAATAGTCTTTGAAAATGGGCCCAAGATACCATCATTTCCACCGGGACTACGATAATTACCTCCCACCTGATCTCCAGGCATTTATTCCAAGTCTTCTTCCAATTTACCGACAGATGGAAGTTCTCAAATAGAAATGGCAGCATGACGCTGCCCAATTTCAAGGTGTTCAATGGTTTTCCACTTGGTTTGGGATAAAACCTAAAATCTTTCACATGGATTTTAAGGTCATTCCTGCTTTGGTCCCTGAATACTGCTCCCAACTCATCTCCCACTACTGTCCCCACGTCCTATGCCCCAGTCACCTGGGCCTCCCCTAAATTCCTAAAAAGTATGATGCTTGCTAGCTTCAGAGTCTGGGGGGTGCTGTTTCCCTGGGTCTGAAACTCTTCCCCTCAACTCTTCACCTGACTACTACTCATCGCTGTCGAGTCTCATTTTGAAAATCTCTTTCTTAGGAAAGTCTTCCATGGCTGCCTAGACTAGGTCAGATTTTCTCACGGTACCCTATGCCGCACTTTTTTGCCTTTATCACAGTGGTAATGAAAAACTCATTTATGGAAGTGTGTGTTTAGTGTCTTCCTCTTCCCTCCTCTGTAAGCAGCACTGCACTGGTCCTGGGACACCCACACCCCCGAGCCCTCCGGTTACTATCTGTTGCCCCATGCTGAGTGAACGGGAGAGAGGAGTGCATGGCAGGACTGCTGGAAAGGAGCAAGAGCACCGTGGACACTCAGGCCATGAGACCCCTCGGTGCCATCCGCAAGGCTCAGATCACCAATTCTGGCCGGAGAAGGTAAAGTTTGATTGGCACATAGTGGGCTTTCCACAGGCACACTTTTGCTTTTTTGAAGGATAAGACAAGGGAGTTTACAGTAAATGCCTCAGGCACCCGTAAGACTTCGAATTCACTGGACAGAGTTGGTGATTTTTCTCTTGACGCATCCTCAGGATCGCATTGCCTTGCACACAGCAGATACTCAGGAGAGACACGTGCTGAATAAGGTCATTATCACACACTAGAATGTTATAGCACAGCATTCAGGGTACAAGCTGCGAGTTGCTGTAAACACAACAACAACATGTAACTGCTGTTTTGGTCATTTCGTGGACCACATCTTGCTCAATTTTACTCTGTTATAGCAACTTGAAAGCTAGGTTTCACTTATCTCTGTATTCCAGTTCCTTCTTTTTTTTTTTTTTAAGTTTATTTATGTATTTTGAGAGAGAGAGAGTGAGTGAACGGGAGAGGGGCATAAAAGAGGGAGAGAGAGGATACCAGGCAGGCTCCACGTTGTCAGTGCAGAGCCGGACGTGGGACTCGACCTCACAAACCGTGAGATCATGACCTGTGCCAAAGTCAGGACTCAGACCCTTAACCAGGTGCCCCTCTCTCTTCCAGTTTCTTACTGTTTCCCAAACACTGCCCATTTCAGGCCAGCTGTTCTTCTGGCCCTTCACTTCTCCCTTCTATTCATCCATCCGGTTATGTTCATTATTCATCGGGTACCTGCTTTGTACCGTGTACATAATCACTTTTCCTTGGCCACTTGGTTTCTTATATGTGTTTTATCTTCTGCAAGTCTAATTTGAGAGTGGGGGATAAAGTGGGGGAGTCACTGCTCCTTGACTTCACCCAGGTGGAAATAAAATCTGGATATATCCACAGAGCACCTCCTTTCCTCTGAGAAACAGGAAACAGGGACTCAAACAGAATGGAGGGATCAAAGCAAATTTTACAATTTCACAGCATGGAATCGAATTGACTGTTTTATTTGGAGAGGTCCGAGAATATATCTTTTCTCGAGAAATACACTGGAAAAATGGAAAATGTTTCTGAACTCTAAATTATAAGCAATTGGCTACTTACAAGATTTTTAAAATTTAGAGTCCACTCAAAAATTGTAGGCTACAGCATCATCAGTGACATCACCACAAACATTTCTGCTGCAGGGCAGGGAACAAACTGAATCCACAGGTACCTTTGATCCCAGGTCCTCCTTTTCTTTTGTTAGGTCCTTTTTCATCATCTCTTTCTCAAAGGCCCTTTTTTCTTGCTGCGATGCGAGTTCTTTTTCAAGTCGCTCTTTCTGCCTCTCCAGTTCGTTCTTCAACTGTTCACATTGGATTAAAGCCTGCCAAAGTAAGATGGAGGGAAATGGGGTCTTAGAGTTTGGAAAATGTGAGGGGAAAATGAGATAATTAAGCCTTGATTTTACTTAAAATCATCACAACTCGCTGTAGAGCCCATTAGAAGAATTTTATACTCGTTTGTCAATACCAATTACAGATCTAAAATACTATTCAAATGGTACATTTATTCACATATTTCAATTTTCATAATTAACGCTGTATTAACTAAGCAACTAAAAGAATTCAGATTAATGGACCCTGATGAAGGCCACAGATGAGTCCAAATTTGAAAAGGGCATCAGAAAACTCAAGCATTCTCATATTATATTTCAATTATATATCATGTTTCTACTGAATGAAATATGTGAGTCTCCAGTTTAACTGATTTTTCATTTGCTCCTGGTTAAACAGATCAAAACTGAAAATGGAGATGAGTTGGTTATTACATACAGGCATCTATTTTTAACATTATCAAATAATCGGGGTTCCCGAAACTTGATTAACTAAAGTAAAAATTAGGTAATAATAAAAAGTTTAGATAAGGAAAGACTCAAAAGAGCATTTACTACCTAGTTTTATGAACTAAGAAGTACCATCTTTCACTGCTGGTTTTTTACGAGTCCATAATTGTTCTTAGTCTCAATTTCCCACTCTGGATTTCTAGAAGCAAAAACTTTCTAACTTCCTTTCGACTACATTCACAGTGTCTTTATGTGTAACACCCAACAATAAACTAGCTTCAAAATCCCAATTTTAAAAAACCCCTATACAGCTAAGGTGCTTGACAGAAAATCTGAGTCATTCTATGGTGTCTTATTCCAGTGGCTCTTATCTAATATCCAATATCCACCTCATTCAACAGCTACGTTCCCCTAAGTTGGGAAGCCAAGAAACCCAAGTCTCATATGACCTACAAACTGTGTAAGTATGTATCAAGTTACAAGTGGGATAGAGTCACATTTGTTGTCTCAGTAAGCACCACAGGCTTTATGCGTAGCTCTGCTTCCCTCTGGAGAAAGCTACAATAAATATAAACAATAAATAATCTAGGGTATGACGGGTGAATTTTCTTCTCTTCATCTGGAAAGCATTAAATCCTAATTTTCTTCAAACTCTTCTGGAAAGTTGCCGTACTCCTAGTTATAAAATACGAGGGTAAAACTTAATTGTCTCAGATTAACTGACAAGCATATACAGTAACTGAAAAATGATTCTCTCAGGGACTTGGTCCCAAGTCCAATTCTAGTTGAGGATGCCTGTAAAATAAAATTTTACATTAGATTTTAAAAGAAGTGGAAAAGCATAATTTTTCTATAATTTAAGCCCTTAGAGCTTGATAGATTATGAATTTGAGATTTCTGTGCTTCAGAACACAATTGCTGTTGTGAAAAAGATTTTCTATGAACCTAATAAAAATGTTCATAACTTTTGCAGATAGAATACAACTGGCATGAAAGAATAAAATGACTGTTGTATATAAAGCTTTTTCATCGAACAAGAACTCAGGAGTCAACATTATTAAGCACACGAACAGCAGAACATGACTGCTGAAGGTCTAAACATCAGGTTAACATGAACAGCAACCAAAGAATCACCTCCAAGAAGTCAGTCCATTCGGGAACAAGGAACAGTAAATGATCCTGACAGGATAAGAGGCCTAAGCCGAGGTAAGATGTTGTAAACACAAAGTCCAAAGCAAGAAGTTGTAAATCACCTAAAAGCAATGCTGAAGCCTCTGTTTCTGTGGATGGCCTTCTCCTGGTTAGGACTGGCCACCACGGAGAGGTGATGATGAGGAAGTGTGAAGGCATACTTTTATTTGTCTTGATTTTCATATCTATGCCTGGTCACAATGAAGAAATTAAGGATCAGTAACACTTGCACTTAGAAAAGTGATTTAATCTTTCTAGAGGTATCTCTCTTACCACGGACCTCACACACTAGATAGATCACAGAGAACTAAACAAGTATTTATACACTCTTTCCATTAAAGCTTCCCTGTTTTCTTCCAGGGCTCCCTCTCCTAGTTTCCGGAATTGCTCCCTGATTCTGCTTGTCTAACCATCTGGTAAAGGCGTAATAACTGAATTCTCACAAGTGAGGTCAGTAAATGGTCAGTGACAACTAACTGAGAGATGTCCAGAGGGGACCAGGATGATTTGGGGCCTGTAGCTGCCATTGCTTCCAAGAGGGTGGATTCTTCCTGTCCCTGAGCACGGCCCCTTTTCGGTGGAAATGGCTGTGGCTCTTGAGGAGCTGAATTATACTATTCCCCCACCCAGTAGACTCAATCCTCAAGGGACCTTTTCTCTTCTGGGACATTTCTTTCATTTGTGGTTATTCTGTGCTGGCCATATTAACACCCTTTTTAAGACATAATTTATTGGACTTGATATGCCCAGCTCTAGTTTTATTAAACCAACCAGTTTTTTGGGGTCAAAACATTTCCCAAATGGGGTCTTAATGGGGTCAAAACATTTTCCAAAATAAATTTATATCTCGTCAACTAAATTTTTCAAAATAGGAAATCTATTTTAGGACACATAAAAGTCCTTCCCAAGTGTTAGAGTTGGGTTCCTAGAAACCTTCATGATCAAAGAATTCATGATTCAAGAATTCAAGATATTATGAGAAATAATAGAATTCACACTTAAAGTAAATTTAAAATTCATGTGAAAACTTGTGACACTGTTTTCATTTTGATGAACTACAGCCCACAAAATAAAAATGATTGTCAACATGTTTTAAGCATTTAACTTATGAATAATGAAAAGTATTGATTTTCAATTTATAAACTTGCTACTAGAAACCTATCAGTCTCTATCTCCCATTTTCAAGATGTTTATGATTTTTGTTTTGTGGAAGATAATCTACGTATCAAGAAACATATGTTCTCTGCCTGTGCTTGTGATCAAATGGCCGATTGCTTTCTGATCTTTATACTTTAGGTTTATAATTTTCACCTTTCTGACTCTACTATAGTGTAAGAAAAATAATAATTTGGAAAGGAAAAAAGTTGGGGGACATTGATTCAACCTCCTGGGTTTTTTTTTTTTTTTTTTAATCTTCCCTTGGAGGGTTATCTTCTTATAGAGATGGTCATGATAACTTCATGCCAAAGGCAACAATTTCTCTTCAAATAGAAGCAAGCAGGTCTGAGGCCTGGTTAACCTCTTCATCTTGAAGCTTTACCAAGGCATCACCACAAAACTTCTGCTTTTCCACCCTCATTTTTTGAGGTTATTTTTCTTCCTCTATTTTAAAATTATCCCTGGTTGTAAGGACTTGCAATTTCAAAGAAAACCAAAAATATTTATTAGTCACTTACTATGTGCCAAATACTTTGCTAAATAGCTTACATGGGTCAATTTTTTTAACACTCTTTGTTAAATTTTAAATAGTTCTTTTTTTAAATGTTGATTTATTTTGAGAGAGACAGAGAGACAGAGTATGAGCAGGGGAGGGGCACAGAGAAAGGGAGACACAGAATCCGAAGCAGGCTCCAGGCTCTGAGCTGTCAGCACAGAGCCCAACGCAGGGCTCGAACCCATGAACCGCAAGACCATGACCTGAGCAGAAGTCAGAGGCTTCAATGACTGGGCCTCCCCAGGTGCCCTGAATTTTAAATAGCTGTTATCACTCAGCTGAAGAAACTGAGCAGCTTTGAGACATTAAGTAACTTGCCCAAGATCACAGACCTAAAAAGTGGTAGAATAGAGCGATTCCACAGCTGAATCTACGCATGGCATTACAACTTTCTCGTGTTATTAGATTTATTTTGTTATAAAATCCTTAGGTGTTTTCACTGCCATTGTCAATGTAAGTATATAACATAAAATAATTCCATGTACTTACTTAGAATGCAATATGCAAAATGGAACACTAGATGGCAACAACAGTCAAGGAACTAGATAGAAGAGGGGCTCAACAATCAAGTAGTTGTTTTTAAAATTAAAATATGTATGCCATTTTACTCTTTACTCTCACGAAGCAAAATCCCTAATATGTTGTAACATCCCTGAGAGATAAAAACTAGTAGATCTGCATTGTATTTTGTAAACTGCTTGGAAATCAGTTCCTGCATTATTACTCATTCAATGATGCTTAGAATTCGGTTCTTGCACTACTTACTAATTGAATGAAAAATGCTTTGGATTCCCAATACACAATAGCTTCTTTTGTTCTTAACTGTTAAATTTTTAAAAGCACTAATTACAAAATTCATATTCATAGTTAAAGCTAACAATTGACTTTAATTCAATTCAACAAACATTGTGCAATGAACATGTGAAGGATATAGTGATAGATGTCACAGACCTGACTTTTAAGGTCTTTTGGTGGTGAGAGCTATGTAAACAGCCACCAAAATTCTATACAGCTCAGTCAAATATGGAGGAGGAAGAGATTAATTCAAACAAGAAGGGGCTGGGGAAAACTTTGGGGAAGACTGCCACCTGAGTTGAGCCTCACAGGTTGAATAGATAGATCAATACGGTGCTATAAAGCGTAGCATAAGCAAATTCATGGTCACATTCAGGAAGGTCACATTCCTGACCTTGTAAGTCACATTCAGGAAAACTGTAGGTCACATTCAGGAAACAGCACAGGTCATGTGAAAGAGTGTAGTGAAAAATAGCGGGGTGGGGGGGGCATATTGTAAAAGATCTGGCAGGTCATGCTTTTGTTGTACTGCAAGAAGGGAGCTCCCAGAACAGGGAGCGTTACAACTGAGGAGGACTTTGGCAACAGTGGGAAAGATATACTGGAACTGGAAGAGGCCTGAGCAAGACCAGTAGAAAGCTAATGCAATCATCTACATAGGTTGCGTAACAGTATGTTAGGACTTGAGCCAGGAAGGAAAGGGTGGGCATAGCTTAGGAAAAGACTCCAAAAACCGAGAGCTTGGCAACTGATTGGATGTTGAGAGCGAGGGATGGGGAGAAGCCAAGATATTTTAGAGGCTGTGAGCCAGGGCGGTTGGTAAGATGAGGGAGCCAGTATC